ATCATTAGAGTAGTCACCACCGTTCTCAATTCTGTCCAGGAGGTGGGGCAGGAAATGTTGGCTTTGGGAAAAGAGCTGTTTTTCATAGATATCAAGAGCCAACCAGGAAAATTTATCACTGGAAGGAAAGCAAACACAATGGTTCCAGTTTAAATTCCTATCCTGTTTACTATGTCCTCACAGACCTCCCCTTGGCTCCAAAATGGAGCTGCCACTCCTTGTTCCCTAAGCTACTTAAAAATTAGAGGAAAGTAGACAAGCTCCACAGTTGTATCATGTTGGCTGAAATGCCTCCACCACAGGTCCCCCCATTTTTTGTGGTCTATATCAAGCATTTCCTGCTTTTGGGGGATAAACCCACGCTCAAGTTAGCCAGGTCAAACTGCTGGCGTCAGTGACTCTTCAGTTCTCAAAGAGACCCCATGCTTCAGTTGGAAGCTGCTTATTCTAGTTCATGAGCACCTGAACCAAGGCCAGAATCACTGTTTTAGTGTTCCCATAAAATGCTTGGTCTCCTTGTACTCAAGTGTGTCTCCTTGGTAAACCAGATCTAAACCACATTATCATTCTTCAGCCAACACATAACAGGAAGGATACAATATTGAAGAAAACAATGGGAACCATGAACAGATTTTCCGTCAAAACTGTCATTGCAGTCTAGTTGAAGCTAGAGCTTTTGAAAAAGGCAAGACTTGTTCATTACATTAATTTTATCCCTGGAAACCCCAAATTTCCGGGATTTCTCAACCCCAAATCATTGAATGCTAAGAAGTCAGGCCAAGGTAATAGTAGATCCTTCTGTTAGCTTTACCCAAATATCTTTCTAGCTAGAAAATGGAAGAGTATTCTCTATGGCAGAATGAAACCTTTCATTAATGGAATCTGCATTTTCCAACTGTAGTAAATTGTTTGGAGTAAGGAGGTGGGGGGACCTGGATATGTTCCCTTCTATAATTGTATTCTGTTGGAAGACAAAGTGCTTAATTTGAGTAAAATGTGGCTCATCATAAACTGACTTTTCCAGAATAGGAAAAAATTCAGTGTTAAATGATATTTTGATCCCCATGGAGAATTTGAGATAAAGACTTTAACTTCTGGAGGCATAAGAGAGGGCTAATATGCCTAATGGCTGAGATTTTGGTTTCTTTAACATTGCAAACTGATACAAAAGGCATACTTTCTTGATGTTTTTTTCTTCTTTACTGAGATATTTTGGTTATATCTTTAAAAAAAAAGGATATTGTGCAGGGGTAGATTGGCCAACTTGATCAATTTGGAAGGATCAAAATAGTCAAAGCAGTGGAATGAAAAGTGCAGTGGGTTTAAATATTCAAATTCAAGTCCTAGTTTACCCTATGACCTTGGGAAGATCATTTTCCATCTTTGGCCTTAGTCATCTGAAAAAGTAAGAAAATGAACTAAAAATCAGTAATTCTTCATGTCTTTGTCTTCCATAACACTCAGGCAGTTTATAAACACAAGATTTCCCACAGGCCACACAGAAGCCATCTGAATTCTCAGTGACCTAACTTTAATTTCATCCCTTTCTTTCCACCTTGGAAAGCCATATTGCAATGCATGCAAGGAAGAGCCACTCTATTTGCACAAAACCCTTGAATCTGATCCTATTGATTTGGGAAAAATGCCCAAATCATTTCTAAATTTTCTTCATTATTAATAACAATAATAATAATTTATTAATAAAAATATACTTGCAACCTTCCTCACTGTTGCCACATGTTCCTATGTGATCTAAATTACTATTGATAACTGGTTTCTAAGATACCTTAGATGGTCAATATTCAAAAATCATGGAACTTTCCCCTCAGCTGAAAATTGAAGCGTGGGATGAGAATTAGCTTTGTGCAGACCTACAGTCAAAGGGTTGGAAACCCGAAACTGTCGAAAATCTGTGGCTGCCTCTGTTTCTTTTATCAAAATTAGTAAATTTTGAAATTACTAAATTACTGAAAATAACAAACTAGAAATAAAACCCCAAGTCTACTGTTGGCCAAGAGAAATATCATGCACGACCCCATTCCATTCCTGGTCTCATGCCTTGTATAGTTCTCTGAAGTCAAGAAATAGGTTTTATAAAAGGCATTCATTTTCAGTTATGATGGAAAATGTGAATAATCAAAGAGAACTGTTTTCTCTCCTCTGCACAAGAGCACAGATGGCCTGTAATCACTCCGTCTGTGTGTCCACGTGTGTATAGATGGGCATGTGTGGGATGAAGGGGACATAATGAGATCTGTAAGCCCTTAGAGAGGTCTGGAATGAAATACCTGAAAACTAGTCACCTCCGGCTCCAATCCATAACCTCCACAGAATTGGGTGGCTTAGCTCAATATTCTCTGAAGGAATTTCTATTTGTGAGATGAAATTGAACCGCACTTACAAATTGGTCTTCTCTGATAAAGAAAGAGATTTTTTTAGTGGTTTCTTTAAAAGCTATAAGTGGTTTCCTTAATAGGCAACAAATCATAGGACACTGCCTATTATCCAAACACGCAGCCAGGCTCTAGGGCCTTGTTTGTGAGATGAAAAGCCTATGGAATGGGTGTTTTTAGCAGTCTTGGTGTCTGATCCTGTTGATTTTGTAAAAATAATGATGATGATGATGATGATGATGATGATGATAATGATAATAATAATAATAATAATAATAATAATTGACTAAAAATGATTGATCCTGTGCAGATGGCTTCAGCCTCCCTTGAGCAGTGATTTTTATCATATCTATGGCGCTATGGCTGCTCACTTCAAAACTGTGCAGTCCCTGTTTGGTAGCATTGCCAAACCCTAACCACAGAGTTCCTACTACTCTCTAGTGCTAAACTCATGTGGGACATTTTGTAACAAGGGCCCTCCACCTTTCCCAAGTGGGATGAGGAAGAAAAGGACCCCAAATCTCTGGAGAAGGCTGAAAATCAAAGTAAAAGTACCATACAGGCAGAGGTGACGGGGAGATGTTCTCTGTTGTTGAGGGGTCGTCAAAGGCTGTAGGTCTTATTGGAGATCAGCAATTCTGAATTCATCTAGCTGGCAGGTAAGTGTGGCTAACTAAAAGAGTAGGAAAGAAAAATACTCACGCTACATGAAAGTGACATCATTTCAACGAAATGTCATTTTTCAATGGAGACTCATGTTCTTAAGTTTCTAATAACATGAGTGCTTCAAGGCTTTCATATTTTCAAATTGCAGGTATGGATTTGGGCTGATTTAGCCATGCTTTTGCCTTAGCCCCCAATCACTATGGGAGATGGCTAGCCAGGATTTTCAGAATTGTAGTCTGGCTACTAGATATAGAAAATAGAATATTAGTAAATACCAAAAATGCCTAAATATTTGGATGCAATTTTACTTGCAAAAATTTAACCTATACTAATGGTAAAAAATGAAATCAGTCATCACTGTGATTTTCAAAGACGAGTATAAGTTTAAGTTCCAAGCTTTGGTTATTCATTCAGTTGATAATTTCCAGCTCAGTGACGATTCTTTGTTAAAAACTATGGAATAAAATTTCATCACGCCTTTATCTGGTATAACTCAGTGGGATGGAATGAGAAAATAATGAACATTCGTCTGTTGCGTTATAGTTTTCACACACATTATCTCGCTGATTATTGCTAGACTGTGACTTCATGTGTCTGGAATGAAATAGCTGATTTACCTTATTTACCTCTGTATCTCCAACACCTTGCTTAGGGCATGGCACGAAGTAGGTGCTCAATAAGTATTTATTAAATAAATGATTGAACCATCCCGTGATGTAGGCTGAGCAGTGATTACACTTTCTCCCATGTTATAGGTGAAGCGACACCGCAGGAAAGGTTAGTGTCTTGCTCAAGGTTGTATAGCCAGCGAGTTGAACCCAGTTATTTAGTCTCTAAAACCTGAGCTTTCCTTCAGATTCTGGGCTTCTGTGGTCTAACTCTGGCATTAGTTAGTAAACCCCATAATCCCTCTGGGCCTCATTTACCTTATCTGTAAAATAAGAGAAGGCATTCTTCTGTGGCTCTGAGGCCCCAACTACATCTGACTCTATGGGCTTAATTTACAGTATTATTCACAGTGTTGGTCTGGCTTCTGAGTGACTGTCATGATGGAGTCCAGAGAGTCCAGAGCTGTCAGGTGGCCCAGAGAAGGGAGGCCCAGCGCCACTTCCTAACAGTGGGAGAAAACTTCAGTCTAGAAGCTTCCAATTTTAGAAGGTCATTGAGGTCGTTTTGAGGTTGGTTTAGGTTGTAAAGAGGCATTGGGAAAATTCAAATTGTTAACATGCAACTACTCTAGGAGCTCTCTAGCAACAGTGTCCGAATTTGATGGCCTTGCTTAATTCATCACCCCTGTCCCTGTCCCCACAGACACACTCCACGCCATCTTCCACCATACGCATGCCCAATGACTCTGAGCAGGATATAGTTTTTATAATGAATTCGTCAGAGATGGACTCCTTTCACATGCTATGAACAATTTCAGAAATAGATTTCAGATTTGGATTTTATTCCCAAAATATCATTATCCTCATCACATACAAGGCTTCTTTGCAGCAGCTTTGTAAATATTTATCTAGCCATTCTTTGGGATCAGTTTTTCCAAAGAGCAAGTCAGTCCCCATGCCCTAGAATGATATATTGTTTTCAAACAAACCCAAATACAAGCTGAAGGCCCTGTGCAAATTAGTTCCTCTAATTTCCTGCAGCCAGTTGCTCCTTTAGAATGTACACAAATGGAAGATGTCAAGAACATTTAGTCTGTTATACCTGCCACAATTACCCCCACCCCCTACCCTCCGGCGCCCAGTGAAATCTGATTACAGGGGACTGAGCAATGAAAGCTCAGCTGGAATTAGAGACAGCTGTCTCCAATAAGGGTCGAGCCTGGCACTACACCCTGCAGAAAGAGGCTGTGGGAGGCTGCACTCCTCTGCAGAATAGAATTTCATTTATCACCATGGTTCCGAAGTCAGACTCAACTCTCCGACCATCACTTACCGAAAATTTCGAACCACGAATCTGGGACCATTTCTAAGAGCTGCATTGTTCAACAGAATCCTGAAATTAAACAGCATCTTCTTTTGACAGTGTAAAGGATGATTCTGTTCTCCTGCAAACGCCTCACCAAGGTCGCCAGTGGGGTCCACGTGAAAGCTAAGAATGCTTCCAATTGCAGTGAGAGAGCAAAGGTAACATCACACTTCAACTACCTTATCAAATTCCTGGTTAGAGATACTGCAGGGCAGGGTACAGGAGCGTTTGAACTTTAAGCCAAGCTCCACCGCTGTGTATTTTTTTTTTTGAGAAGGAATCCTGACTCTTTTGGTGCCCAGACGCCTCATTTTTCATAATATATTTATGCTGTCACATACTTGTACAAAATCAATTGACAAGTACTCATCGAGCGGATAATATATGCAAGACACTTCAGTGCTGGCTGCTATGAAGGTACATAGAAATAACTCACTCAGAAAATGTGAATTGGCAGTGCAAAACCCCAGGTGTAGACGTGACACTGAGTATTTCCAGGGGTATCACTTTCCTACCTCTAAGGCCCAGACTTTCCACAAAAACAAATAGGAAGATGTATCCTGGAAGCTATATATATACATATATATATATATTTGGTAGAAAGAAGCTGGAGTGGGGATAGAGATGCAGTTAAAAAAAATCTCAGTCCTGGAGCTTCCATTGTGCCTTGCACATAGTAGGTCTTCAATAAATAAGGAGTTGCCTATTAATTAGAGCAGAAACCCATAATCTGCAGAAGTGAGGAGGGGGTTACCAAATGTTCCTCCCCTGGCAGCCTCTTCGGATCACTCAGGGGCCATCTCAAGCTTCACACTCATTCATTCATCCAAAGTTATAAATGGGATATTTTCCAAATCTATTCTGTGTCAGATACTGGGCTAAGCTGGAATTTCAGAAAAGGAAGATGATCTCACCTTTGCAGAGTTTACAGCTCAGTAAAGGTCACAGATTTGTAAAGAAATATCCATAATACAAGCCCATAGGGGAGGTCCAGATAAAGTGCCCATTGCGGGGAAGAGGGCATACTCTAAGCTGGGAAGGGTGGGAGGCAAGGGAGGAGGGCAAGGGAAGCACTTGCTAGACATTTGTGGAATGCAAAAACACAAGTGTCATTTCAAAACCAATTATGGCCACTTCAGGGGCAGGGATGGTCGTGATGTCATAATTCATATTAGCAGGGAAGTGAATCTTGGCACTGTTCTTTCCTACTTACAGAGACTGATGTGGGATAAAGAGAGGGAAAGACAAATTCCCAAACCTCTGCCACATCTTCTGTTCTGGAAAGATTATTCCAGGCAGAAGCAAGTGTTTGCAGAGGCATGGAGGTGAGAAGGCATATAGCAAATGCTCCGCGTGGGAGAATAGTTGGCTGCTTTGTTTGAAAGGACCACCTTAAAGTATCATTGAAGAGACAAAACGGGCCCATTGTTGGATAGGTTTTAGAGAGCAAATTTGCTCTACCTAATACAGGAAAGGAAAGTGGATGTTTGCAGGGAGATTAAAAGAGAAGAGGTTAAACTGCATGCTAACACAAAGCCCATATCTTCAGTCAAGTGTGCTACCTACACAAACAGTTCATATGAACAATGCTTGGAGAGAAATCAAGAAGTGTCTGCAGTGCTGTGGTAGGGAATGCGGGCAGCACTTTTGAGATGCCAAAGCAACACAGAAACCCTTAGTTCTATGGAAGTAGGAGTCAGTCCCCCAGAAAGGACTAAGAAAAACTTAAATGCCCCCAGAACCCCCACAGAGATGGGAAGAGAGGAGTGTACCATAAGTGGGATAAGCTGAAAGGCAAGTTCACTGAATCTCAAAAGACAAACATCTCAACGGACATCTGGGTCATAGGTGGAAAAACACCATACAGGGTTTGACATTCATCCTCAGAATACATTCAGGTGCTCTTCTTGACCCACTGTGTGACTCCTCTCATATCTCTTCGACTGCCCGGTTTAGCTCCAGACCTAGTTCCCTATGTTCACCCAGCCCTCTATTCACTCATTTCTCTCTGCTACCAACAATTGTAGGTCGGGTCTCTGTGCTGGGTAGGCTCTGAGGGATATAGTGATAACCAGGAATGATGAGTCTCTTCCCACATGGAGTTCACCATTTGGAATGACTTCAGGTCACAACTTCTGTGTCGGTTCCCTGACCCCATGACCCTAACCAAGAGAGTAAGGCTTGTTTCCTGCTCCCTTGCCTCAGGCCCTGTGGAACCTCCAACTTGACTTATCCCTCATCCAGCTTCCCTGGGGTTGGGGATTAGATGGGGTTCCTGGAGGACATGGCACTGATCCATGATGAATTGGGAAGAATTGGGGAATTGTCAAAACTAGAGGAGGCTACAAAGGATATTAGAGCAAAGGATGGAAGCTGTGAGTAGACCTAGAGGAAGAAACAAATAGGGTGTGTGGGGTACCAACAACTGGAGGGTGAATCCACTCCATCATTGACAATTTAAATGAAGCACTGCACCACCAAGCCTACTATGAAAAACACAAAACCTTTAGTGTCCATGTCCTGCCTGTACCTCCTTGGTCTTCCTCTGCATACCTGCTGCTTCTTAATGCACATGCCCACAGCTCACTGGCTGAGGGTAAACACCTCAGACTCGTCATCCCGGTGTGGGCAACCTCACACACAGTGTCTTACACACTTGTCCGAAGGTCCTCAGTGGGACTAAGCCTCCATTGCCCACAGTAATAACCTGCTGATCAGTGTGCCCTTTATTAGCTGCCTTCCTTCACTGTCTCACTTCCCTCCCTCCCCTACATGTACTTCCTGGGATCATCTCCCAAATGAACCACTTGAACCCAAATCCCATTCTCAATGTCTGTCTCTGTGGGAACCCAATCTTTGCCCAGGTCTACCCTCTCAACAATTTTTCCAATGCTCTGCTCCTTATTTTTCTCCCAGGCCCTCCTATCTCTGATTTGGTACCTGGGCTTTCAAGTGTCAACATCTTTGTACCCTCTACCATAGGAAACATTCACTCTCAGATTTGTCACAGTTACCCTACAACTGGTGGTATGCTGGTAAATATTTAATAATCAGCTCTTCAAAAAACAAACAAAGCTCTGATTGGTGGCATTGACCAACTTGTGTGATATAAATTCTCTTACCATGGACAGCTTCAAGCTGCCAAAGTGACATCACTGAACACAGAGTTGGAAAGAGAGGCCTTCAGATTGGCTCTTGTAAGTCATTGTGAGCTGGCTCCAATAACCATTGCCAACAACTCCCACCAAAAAGGAGAATTCTCTCAAGATTAGGAAAGGAATAATGGAACCAGATTGTTGAGGGCCTTGAAATCCAGATTATGGAGCTAAGAATTTAATCTACAGTCAAAGGAAGATTATTAAAGTTTTAGAAGTGGAGCAGACAAGGGGACATATGTCATTATCTGCATTGTGTTTTAAAAAACTTAATCCAGCACCACTGTGTAAGAAGTACAGTGGGGATAAAATGGAGGCCAAGAGACAGAGGTTATTGTGTTATAATAAGGGCCTGAGCACATACTGGGGCTGTGGAAATAGAAAACTAGGGGTGGATTTAAGAGAGATTTAGGGATTAGAATCCACCTATCAGAACAATTGGTTGGATATTCAGAGAAAGGAGGTGGAAAAGCTAATGAGACTCCAGGATTTCAAGTTTATCCTATCACATTTGAGTCTAAAATTCCAAATAGCCAAATGACACCTTTGGGTGTTAGTTTCCTGACATTTAAAATTTGTAAGCATCACATATGAACTTTCAATATTTCTTTGAAATTGCTACTCTGCTTCCCTAGTGAAATCTAAACACTGAAGAGGGAATCAATATTATGTAAAAGAAAGACTTATGGGAAGGATGGTTGAAGATCAGATGGGATCTCTGGCTGAGTCACTAGCTGTTGATGAATTTGACCAAGTCACTTGACTCCTCTAAGACCCTCAGACTCCTCATCTGTCCAGCTAAATGTTTTATAAAAATGGGCTATTACACTGCTTGGGAAACTTAAACCTGCTAACCAAACATGAGGTATAGTGTCTAAGAGTCTTGACATAGCTATTGCCAAAGATCTATTGCAAATTTGAGCTCTGTGCAAATAAGACATATGGCTGTTACTGCAGTAAGAAGTTCTGTTTATTTCAAAGTGTTGCTAATTACATAAATACTTTTTATAGCTGGTTGTCTGGAGTCTTAAGATCTTGAGAAACCACAGTATTTGCATGCAGTACACACTTTAGTTACAGGCTCTGCAGGATTGTTTCTGGTAATCTATCTTCCACTGGATGTGAATAAAGACACATGTATTCCTGTCTGAGACCAGTAGCCATCCTGTGACCATGAGGAGAAGCAGCCTTAGGATGAAACTGCGATTTGGCAGAGTGAAGCAAGAAGGAATCTTAGTCATTCATAACATCCTTGGGTTGTAAAAGCAACCAACCTCATGACTCTCCCTACCACTGGACACCTTGTTACGTCCTTTTTGCTTAAGTCACTCTGAATTGGGGGTTTTGCTACTTGCAGTCAAATGCATGCTAACTAATACATAATTAGGCTTAGGTTTTTGAAGGTTTATTTCTACTGTAACAACAGGGAAAAAGTGATGTCTTTCAAAGGTGTGGATTCTACTTCAGAACTTATCATTTACTGGTTGAATGACCTTGGCCAAGTCAGTTTCCTTACCAGCAGATGGAAACAGTATTCTTTTTCTCACCTTTTTTTTTTTGGTTAAATGAATCTATTTGATATGCTTTGTTATTTTTACATTTTTAAAATTAGCATACAGTAAACTCAACTTTTTTTTTGGTGCACAGTGCTATGAGTTGTCACACATCTATAGATTCATGTAACCACCACCACAGTCAGAATACAAAACAGTTCCATCTCTTCCCCAAACTCTCCCTTAAATCCTTTTGCAGTCACACCCTCTTCTCACCACTAATTCCTGGCATATTGATCTTTCTCTCTCTTTATACCTTTGCCATTTCCAGCATGTAACATAGATGGACTCATACAGTATGTGATCTTTTGAGACTGATTTCTTTCATTCAGCATAATGCCTCTGAGATTCATCTGCATTGCTGTGTTTCTCATTATTTTGTTCCTCTTTTTTGCTGACTAGTCTTCCACTGTATGGATAGATCATCGTTTGTTTATCCAGTCCCCATGAAAGGACATTTGGGTTGTTTCCTGGTCTTGGAACTTATACACAGAGCTGCTACAAACATTTATGTATAGGTTTTTGTGGGAACATACATTTTTATTTC